AACACAGCAAATCTAAATTTGGGGATATCTAACATTATAATGAGAAAGAAATGCATGCTTTTAAATTGTTAGTTTATAAGAAACAAAAACTTTGAAATCAATCATGTAAGCCTCCACCTTAAGAAATTAGTGAAAAGAAAAAAAGAAGAGAGAGAGCAAATTAACACAAAGTAAGGTGTAGGAAGGAAATGATACAGATAAAAATGGAAATAAATTATATAGAAAATAGACAAACAGTAGAGAAATATATGTAAAAACCAAAATATTTTTCTTTTTAAAGGTCAATAAAATTATAGATAGATTCATATAAAAAGTACACTATCATTATCATTTTTATTAATGGAATAGTTAACAGATTCTAAAGACATTAGAATGATAGCAATGGAATATTACATGTAATTGCACTAAATTTGATATCCTATCTAATAAAAGGGTAATATGCAAATTAACCATTACTCTGCCACACCCACAAGCCACATCCACCAGCCAATCAGGATCCAGTATACAAATAAATCCAAACAAGGTAGCTGCAGCCACAGAAAGAGCAGGAGGGAGGCTTGGTTTCCCTGGCAATGGAAGAAGCCAGACTTTCCACACACCCTGGCCAGACCAAGTTTCTGCTTAAGGCTACAAAGTTTTAATTATAGAAGATAAATAAATCCCAACAGAAGTGACTGTGGCAATTGAGTGAGCAGAAGGCTTGGCTCCTATACAGGTTACAAAGTTTCAATTGTAGAAGATAAATAAACCCCAGATACCAGGGCCTCCATTTGTATCACCTGGGGGCATGGCCAGCCTGCAAACCACCATAGGCCCCTTGCCCAGGCTGCCTCACCTCTGAAGAGAACACCCACCCTGATCCAAGACACTCTTCAGGGAAAATCATCTGGCCCCCACCAATGCACCAGGTCTCTATCCTATCTAATAAAAGAGTAATATGCAGATTGACCATTACTCCAACACACAAGATGGCTACCCCCATATGGTCAAAGACCTGCCCTTATGTGGGCACAAGATGGCCAGCAGGGGAGAGCAGATGGGAGGGACCAGGCCTGCAAGGGAAGACAGTTAGGGGTGATCAGGCCAGCAGGGGAGGACAGTTGGGGGCAAACAGGCTAGCAGGGGAACAGTTAAGCATCAATCAGGCTGGCAGGGGAGCAGTTAGAGGGTGATCAGGCTGGCAGGCAGAAGTGATTAGGGGCAATCAGAAAGGCAGGCAGGAGAGCAGTTGGGAGCCAGCAGTCCTGGATTGTGAGAGGGATGTCTGACTGCCTGTTTAGGACTGATCCTACCGGGATGGGGCCTAAACAGGCAGTCGGGCATGCCTCAAGGAGTCCAGATTGGAGAGGGTGCAGGCTGGGCTGAGGAACACCCCCCCATGCATGAATTTTGTGCACTGGGCTTCTAAGTCTTTTATGAAACAAGTAAATTTCTTTAAAGACATAAGTTGTTGAATAAACAAAGAAGAAATAAAATGTTTAATAACTTGCTATCTATTAAAATTTTAAAGACATAAGTTGTTGAATAAACAAAGAAGAAATAAAATGTTTAATAACTTGCTATCTATTAAAATTTTAATTCACAGCTAACATTCTTCCCACAAAGAAAACTCCCATTTTAGTTTTGCTGATACATGCTGTAAAATATTTAATATATTTACACTAAGCTTACATTAATTATTAGAAAATATAATGTCAGCATCAACCAGATGCCAAATCCAACAGAGATATTACAAGTATAAAAAATCAATTTTATTCATGAAAATAGATACAAAACTTCTTAACTAAATACTAGCAATAAAATCTAGCCATTCATAAAAGGATAACATATTTTGATTATACTGGGAATTCAGGGTAGTTTCAACATTCAACAATCAATTAATATAATCCACTATGATATATTGTAAAAGCAAATAATTTAGAAGAAAATAATTGCTTAATTTTAAAAAACATGATATTAATAATAATAATAAACATTAATAACTCTGAAAAAATAAACTTCTTAACTTGGTAATGGTATTCACAAAAACAGTACATTATACTTAATGTTGAAATATGGAATGCTTTTCCCCTAAGATTGGGAAAAACGAAGGAATACCTGCTCTCATCCTCTTAATGCAACATTGTATTAGAGGACTTAGCCAGTGAAATAAAGAAAACAATATGTAAATAGGTAGAAAAACTGTCTTTATTTACACAAGATTTACTTGTAAATAAAACAGCAAATAAACAAAAATATAAAATCTACACCCACTCACACAACTATTAGAAATAATGAGTCTATATATCATGGTTACAGGTATAGATAAATATATAAAACCAGGTATTTTATAAACTATGATGAAATGCAAAATTAAAAAGTAATTCAAAATACTATTTAAAATAACATCAGATATAATTTACTTACAGGATCTTTTTTCCTGACATGATATTCTACTATCACCCCACTTTTTTAATTTAAATATTAGGAGGCTTTGGAAATTTTATAATGTTGTCTTGATAGCTTTTACATTTTTTGTAAAATAATTTTTTGTGCTAAAATATGACTGCTTTAGGTTCATTACATGTTACACAATTTTACCATGAGATCAACTGCCAATAAAGATTTTTGTTAGTACTTTAGGAATAGCTTTTGGTACATTACAATCAATTTTTCTAGGATATTTGCTTATTTCAATTAGTCAATTTAAATTACTTTGAAAACTTGATTACACATAAGGAACTGTTTGACATTGAAATTGGGACTCAAAAGAACTGTTGGCCCAGAAAGAAACTCAGTACAGACTGATTCATTTGCTTCTCAGCAAAATCATTATGGCTGGTCTCATTCTCGGTTCTTACAAGTGTATTTCTTGTAGCACATGATCTCACACATCTAGAGGAAATAATGACCAACATAAACTGATGAACAAAAACAGACCTGGAGACAAGGAAGCATTAATCAGACTCTCAAACCTCAGAGGGATGGTAAGGGAAGGTGGAGAAAAGGGAGAGAGATCAACCAAAGGACTTGTATGCATGCATATAAGCCAAACCTGTGGTCACGGACAGCAGTGGGTGGGAGCATATGTAGGGAGGGATTTGGAATTAGAATAGTGGGATGAAGATAATTATGTGATACCATAATCAATCAAAAAAAATGCCAAAAAACCCCCAAAAAATAACATCAGAAATCATATAATATTCAATAATAAATATAACAAAAAAGTTAAGTCCCCTAAAATAAAAACAAGCATTGGTGAAAGAAATTAAAGACTCAAGTGAGCATATACACATACACATACATATTTATGGTCTAAAAGGCCCATTTTTAATAGATAAAATATCCCCAATAAATGTATAGATTCAATGTATCAATGAGCAATCCAGCTAGCTACTCATATTCCTCTGTGTTTGATGATTATTCCTCTCTCTCTCTCTCTCTCTCTCTCTCTCTCTCTCTCTCTCTCTCTCTCTTTCTCTCTTTCATACTAGTGGCCTGGTGTACAAGTTCATGCACATTAATTAGAATAAATATTTTAATATCTCTATTGGCCCTTTCTCTATAATAAAAGTATCAACCACATTCACAATTGACAATGACAGATGGAAGCACACAGATGCAATTAGTGCCAGTGAGAGCTTTATATGTGTCACCCATGTGCAAGCCAACTTAGTTTTTTTTATAGATATAGAATAAACTTGCTTAATTAGACCTGCTTTCTGATTTAGCTAAACTTTTTTCAGCCAAGTTGAAGCACCCCAACTTCTCTTTCAGGTAATTGTGAGCAACACAGCAGTAAATATCAACATGAAGCAGATTATTATTATAGATCATGCAGGGAGAACAAAGGGTAAAATTTTTAACTACAGCAGTGTTTGATTATATTATGCTCAGTGAGAAAATCTGTAGTCATTTTCAAGGTCCACAATTCATTACTTCTTTTCAGTCAGGTCAAGTTTCTAAGCTTTCTAAATCTCCATTTTCTGGCTAATGAAAAGAAAATCCAATCCCACTGAGTCTCCTATCTACCTACTCCAGGACTTCTGTGAGAATCAAATGAGATGAGGCACGGGAAAATGCTTCACAGACATTTGGTTAAAGTATAAATGTTCCCACCTGGCCATAAAGCAAGCCATGTTCATAGGCTGAAGAAACTCTAAGGAGGCTAGTCACTAGGGAGAGGAAGTTAGGCTTGCTTTGTGACATCATTACCCAGATGGTTGGACACTTAGCATATTGGAGATATATATATATGTGTGTGTGTGTGTGTATATATATATATATATATATATCCAATTATATATATATATATATATATATATATATATAAAATTCTCTCTTGCTACAATGTCAGATTCATTAATTTTTTTTGCAGTATCTAATATGCTATTAATCTCATCTTGTTTTGTTTCATTAGATCTCATAGTTTTCACGTGTCCCAGATTTTGATTTTTACGTTTTTAAAAAAATTTAACTTGTATCCTTCTCCTTAAATTTCTTTCATATTTTTCCTTAATGACTTCATGTTTTTTTCTATCTTATTAAACTCATAAAATATAATTATAATATCTGTTTAAATATAATTACTTATCCATTATATCATTTGTGTCATTCCCAGGTTATTTCTACTGATTAAATTTGGAACTCATCATGTGTGGTATTTTTCTGACATTTTGCATGCTTGGGAATTTTGGATTGGAATCCTGCCTTTCTGAATTTCATCTTATTGAGTGCTTGATAATTTTGTATTCTTTTAAACATAATAAGGAGAGTAGAAACATGATCAGATCTGCATTTTGAAAATGCAAATGCTAATTCTATATAGGGGCAACTGAAGAAAATGTCACTGGAATTCAGTGAGAAAACTGGTGTAGTTATCCAGGAGAGAAATTATGAGCATTTCATCACTGCTTAGCTCAGTGCTGCCATGTGTAACAGCTGGATAATTATTTGTTGTTTCCACTGATTCTTGATCAACACACAGCAGTTAGTAATATGCACTCTTTTTTTATTTGTAGAATATTTTATATTGGAAAGCAATTCTATGCTAAAGGAAGCTATCCTGAAGAAGATAATGAAGTCCAGACTTTTAACGGTTTCTATCGATGACTATGGTAAAGTTCTGTGCATGTTAAGCTATTTAAGAACAACTTTCTCTGCATCTTATAGTTTTACATAGAAATGACTCTACATCTTTAATATTTTGCTCTTTCTTTAAAAGAACTTCCTTTACAGTTGTCCCTTCCCAAAGACTTTATGGACGAAAACAAGTATGCTCTTCTGTTAATAATGTAAGTATTTTATTTGTTTTTGGGGAAAAAAAAAGTAATCTAAAGATTTTATAATTTTCCTTAAGTCTCACATGACAACATTCTGATAAAAAACAAAACAAAACAAAACAAAAAAACCACACACCCAGAAGTATAGTTAACTGGGCAGTTGTCAGTTTATGAGTTCCTCAAAGAAACAGCCATTAACTGTATGGAGGGATGTGTAATTGTTTTGTCCTTCTTTCATTCCTAATTGAATTAAATGTTACTATTGGGTATAGTGAAATATGTAATTTGGTTTATGTCAGCTTAACAATTGCTCAACTAGACATAAACCAGATATATATATATATATATATATATATATATATATATATATATATAATTTAAGTGATATTAATTGGTGTATAAGTTTCTTTCTTGGGAATTTATTTGTCATATCAAAGTTATGCTCACTTCATAAATGCAATTTTTTTATTGTGGTAAGAACACTTAATGTGAGATCTACCTTTTTAAGTGTTTGCGTTCACAGTACAATATCACTAGCTATAGGCGCAGTGCTTCACAGCAGAACTCTAGAATGTATTTGGTTTGCATGACTGATACCAGCTACCCATATAGCGACTTCCATTTCCCCTCCCCCAGCCCTGGGCAGCCACCAGTCTAGTGTCTGCTTCTATGAGTTTGACTACACTAGGTGCCCCTTGTAAGTGGAATCATGCTGTATTTGCCCTTCAGTGACTGTTTTACATAGCATAACATCCTTAAGGTACATTCATGTTACAACATACATGTCCTTTGTTGTTCATCAGTTGTTTATGTAATATGGTGGGAACATTTCTTTTCATTGCTAAAACATTTGGTTATACTTATATCACTCCCATCAGTTTTCCACCCTGGATGCTTTGCCAGCAGGAAGTAGTTCTCATGCTCAGAAAACTTAACTATTGTATTTGGTATTTCAACATGGAATTGACTCTAGAATTAAATTAATCCATGCTTTCTGTGAGACTATATTGTGGCTGTATGATATTGGGCACAGAGGCCCCTAAGAGATAATGGTTCATGAATTTGATTCCTGAGAGTTATGCTATTTTCCTTATTAAAAACCCAGCCAGCATATTGCTATGACAGTATATCAGAGGCTCAGCAGGAATGAACAAAATGACAGTGACATTACTTGTTACAACTACTAGATGCAAGAATAGTAGTGAGTCTGTGGAATCAAACTGCCTGACTTCCAATTCCACTTTTGTCACTACTAGCTGTATGTCCTTGAGTGCATTACTTAACTTCTTCTAAGGCTCAGTTTCTCCAAATCTACTAGTAAGCAAACATTTCAATAGGCTGCTTTTGGATTAAGTGAAATGCATCATATGAAATGCCTAGTGCACATAATCATTATAATTAATGTGATTATAATTCGTTATTAATATAAACTATATTGATTTTATTTAGTATTTTAAGAAGTAGAAGCAATTTTTCACTTCATTTTAATAAGCCAAATTATACAGAAAATAAAATACTTAGTATTTTCACTTGGCCCAGTGCTTATTCCTAACTATTATATAATGCTTTGGCCTCAATTGTTTTTTTTAACCTTTGCCACAAATAGCCAGAAGCTCCTCAAGGGTCTTAGTTCTCTCTGGGGAAGTTCTTATGAGTGCTTTTCTATGTTAATTTTTTCTTTTGCTTCCTCATTTCACCTTTCTGTTTTCAATCCCTACTTGAACTACATGTGTGGTAGATTGAGGGAACTATTTAAGGCATAAAAATGGAACAAAAAAGGGAAACATTTAGCCTCATCTTCTGTTTCAGTCATATTTGCTTTGGGAAAAGGGATTGTCTTTTTTTTTTCTTCCAGTTTTATTTTATTTTATTTTTCCCCTTTATTTATTTATTTATTTATTTATTTATTTATTTATTTACTTATTTATTATCAATTATGGTCTCACATAATTTTTTTTTATTCAGTGGAAAATATGGTTTCTCTAGGCATCCTTGCTTAAAGGATGAGCTCTTCCACAGAGGGAAGTAAAGACATATATTCTCTCTTGCACACCCACTGGCCTGGAAGAGTATAACAGTTTGGGAGACAGGTAGACAAAAGCTACAGATTCTCTGTAACTAGAGTCAGAAAAGCCAGGTGGCTGGTCCTGGCATCAGGTTTGTGCTTGGTTGTGGGTGATTTTTAGTTCAAAAAAGGAATGTGAGGACTAGCACAAGACTCAGTTTCTCTTGTAAAAAAGGGATATTCAGGTCTTCTATAGAGGCAGGCTGGGAGAGAAAAGGCACTGGCTAAGGAGTTAGGTAGGCCCAGGTTCAAACCCTAACTCATTTAACAATATATTGCTTAATGTTCTGAAGTTTCTGTTTCTTCCTAGATAAACAGGAGATAATGAATGGCATAATTTATATGAACATGTCAACATAGAGTTTGGTAGAGCATGAACATTGCACTTACTGTTTAATAAATCATAACCATAATCATATAACCATAATCATAGTTATTAGTAGAAGTAGTACTTTTTACTTTTTTTTTGTTAATCTTCACTTTAGGAAATTATATATATATATATATATATATATATATATATATATATATATATATATATATATTTCTCCCCCCCCCATTTTTAGGTAGAGTGTGAGAGAGGGAGAGAGAGAAAAACTTCAATGTGAGAGAGATACATTGATTGGTTGCCTCCCAAACATGCCCTGGACTTTGCTGGGATCCAACCTTCAACCAGGTACATTCGCTGGACTGGCAATGAAACCCACAACTCTAAACACTGAATAACATCAGTTAGGGCTTTTAGTAGTATTTTTAACATTTAATATTATCACTATATAACATATATAGTTTAGCATCCATAAAATTATTCATTACTAAAGCAGATAAAATAATTTAGCAGGGGCCCATCAAATTTACTTTATAACTTTTTGGTTGATGAAAAAATAATAAAAATGAGTATCAAGTTATTAGTTTATATGAGCTTATTATACTAAATATTGATTTACTTTAATCAAATTGCTCAGTTTTCAGATGTAAATTCTCATAAGTTTAGTGGAATATGACTTAGAAAACTAAACCTAAGACTTTAAAATATTTATTTAAGAAATGATCTATTGTCTTAAGCTGCATGATCATGATTAAAATATTCATACTTGGAAACCTATATTTGTCAAGATGGCTTAAGTGTGAAGTGTTTTGTAACTGTTAGATTGTCTATAATTTAGAGGCATTGTTTTCCCTTAAGGTTAAATCCTGTTTTCAGTGACAAGTGTATTTCCCTCTCAACAAAAGAAGATAATGATAATTGATTATTTTTCCTAAATGGGCAATTAGTGAGGAATAATAAATAAAGTTACTATTATTTAAATGAGATTAAGAGATGATTATATGATTTTGGTATCACAACTTGATTGCTGTTCTGTGCAGTGCATCAAGTTCTCCACAGAATGAGCCTCTTATGTCACATACACAGATAGGTTAACAACCAGGAAATCCTGTGATAAATACATGAGTTGGAGACAGGTCACAGCAAATGCCTGAGTAGATGGAAGGAAGATGGGCAATTAGCAGACTCCTTTCAGTTAGATATTCATTATTGGACCTCTGAAGAAATGGTCCTCTGAATACTTCTTTGTGTCCATATTATCTAAAACCCAAATCTAATTCCATGGTATTGAAAGGACTGGTGACTCAAAGGAAGAGGGTATTTTACTGTAATAGAAAATCTAAGAAGCATTGTCACTACAAATGCCTGAGTGGCCTCCATTTTCAGTGGTTTCTATGAGGTCATGACCCCCCTTTCCTTCCCTATTTCTGTTCTCTTTCCAGATGCCTAAATATATTTCTCTAGCCTCTCTGTTTAACATTACAGGGAATCCTTAGGGGCCCAGTAGTCCATATTCTCCTTTATGCATCTATACATGTGGAATGGACATGCATCTATATTAATTTCAGCATTTAGAACTTACAACTGTTATTATGTTCTTATTTTCTACTAATGAATATGTAATTTAATGCAATGCACATTTACCATGTTGCTTTTATGTGTAGGAAGTTGTACTAATGCCTGTAGAGAGACAAAAAAAAATGACAAGAATCTTGAAATCTATAATAGTTTTTTTAGATTTGTTAAATATATCTCCTCAGTGCATAAGCACACATAATAAAAAGAATTCTTTTTAACCTACTGACAAACCTATAATTTTCTTAATAGTGCAGGATTGGAGAATATGTGGGTTAACCTACAGTTACAGTGTTTATTTGCTAAATACATAAGCATGGATCTAAATGCCAAGACACTGGTAGAAAGCAATCCAGACAGATGTACTGTTATTAAAGATGAAAGGTAATGTGTTGTTTTATCTGTGATCCATGAAGAGAAGGGCTGTTGAATAGAAGTTTCATTCAGTGCTAAGAAATCACCATCTTTTTTCCATTTTCTGTTCTTTTAATGTTCAACTTCTCTATTTGACACTTCATAAAGTTCTAACTCAGGGAGGTGGTGACTGTTCAACAAGTTAATTCATGGAGTGCATCACACTCTATCTGGCCCATGACTTGGTTCCCTGACCTTAAACCCATGTCTCTTGAAATTCTAATGAAGTCATGGATATCCAACAAGTCTTACCTTACCGACACTCTCGTTTGCTCTCCTCACCAGTCCATCTTATAATAATCAATACAAGCCTTCATATACAACTATATAGCTTTATGTCAGCAGACTCTCCATCTATTTTAAACTAAATCATATTGTCCCTTTTCCATTTTATCTGAATATTTGTGAGGATGGTTTTACATGTTAATTAATGAATTTATGACTCCCACTAGATTTTGGACCAATGTTTCTGAAGGAAAATCTACAGCTCGGATGTTAGTGTTTAGAAAATTAATTGATAGATTGGCTTATGGAATATCTCATATCTTTTAAAAAATATATTGATTTTTTACAAAGAGAGGAAGGGAGAGGGATAGGGAATTAGAAACATCAATGAGAGAAAAATATCAA